AGTTGCTGTGTAGGGTCTTTGTTGACATGCTTAACAGTCAGGGTGATTTGCTCCCTTTCATGAAGTTTCATATTTTTTCTGCATTTTATTTACCAAGATAATCAAGACTAGAAAATATTTCCCATTTATCTATAGGAAAATATCACACCAACATAACTCAGTAAAGTTGATATCTGAGCTGGAAATGATAGTGAAAATGAGGTTACAGGTCGAAAATGAGGTTACAGGTCAAAACTGAGTAAGCATTAACACAAGGTTAAACAGTGCAGATAGGAACATGATGGCTAAGATGGAGAGAAACTTTTAGCATAAACAGAAGTCTGAATGTTTGAGCAGCCTGATTTCTGTTGTATGCTGTAGAGGTTACAGAACTAACAGCTTGCCTACACTTGGAAGTCAATTTAAATTAAGATAGATTGTAATTTAAAATGCAGTATTTGTTTCCAAGTAACAATCATCCATGGACATTTCTAGTCCCAAAATAAAAGTGTTATTTGCCTATGTGTTTTAATCCCTTTCAAAGAAAAACTCTAAAAGGCTGCAAACTGCGATGAAAGAGGAATGTGTGGTGAAATACACCATTCAAGGATACGGCTTGATACAGCTTCTATAGTTAAGGGTAGGCAGATTTACAAGTACCCAGACAGCAACTGAAGGTAAAATGGTGCAAATTATCAAGACTTTCTGCCAGTAGCTGCAGAAGTGAAACCACAAATAATGGTGAAGGCTGCTTGTGACATACCTGCTCAAACTTCCATTTTCTGTGTGTATAGTATGACTTTGAGCCTGCACCTCCATTTGCTTATTTTGGAACTAGGAACAATCTAACAGGGTCTCTAGGAAAGTACCTCTGGAAAGGGAGCATTGGGTGTGTCTGTACTGCTCAGGTCACCGGCTGTCTCACAAGTCCACGTCTGTTGGTTCTCTGCAGTGGCTGTGTGCTGTGGTACCCTGAGATCTCTTGTAGTAGCCCAGCTAGGTGCTTTCCCAGGCAAAAGCCAGATGCAGATCAGTTAAAGGTGACCTCAAGGTGGTCGTGAGTAGGTGTATAAAATAATTTAATCATATTTGATATTCATCACACACCTAGAAAACTTAAGATAACAGAAAGAATATCCTTTATTCTGGCTTTTCAGTCAGTTGCCCAAAGTCATAATTTATAGCTACATACAATACCATTTATGTATGTGCTTGAAACAGTCTACAGAATTGCCTGCATCTAGGACAAATTATTTAATTAACATTTCCTAAGTATATAGACATTACATTAATATGTACGTCTGTGTCTGGGGGAGAGGGAGTAATGGATATGAGCATGTGGCAGAAGACCTGTGAAAAAGCTACTTCAGGCATGCTGTGAATAGAAAGATGCGAGACGAGTAGAGTTAGGCTGCAGCCGCACAGAAGAGGTTGCTTTCTACCATGCTGACCAATACATCCTTCTGGTTTCCTTTCTTCTTTTCATTTGCACAGTGTCTCTTATTTCATACAGGAATTGTTAACTAGGCAGGATAGGAGAGCAGTGGCTCAGTTTGTAGTCCATAATACCTTTTTGTTAAATGCTTGCTCTCAAGTTGAAAATGTTGGACATTACTGGTGTCCTGAGAGTGGTCTGGATGTTAATGGGCTTCTCAGCAATTTTTCATTCTGTAGCATTCCCAGAGGTGTTAAAAGTTTACTGTATCAGAGCTTTCTAAGTGTAGTAGTATTATCACATTAGATGGCAGGAATCTACAAAGAGGTCCTCTTAAAAATGCTTTCCATGAACAGTAGGTTTAAGAAGAATAGTAATCTCTCTGTGTTGCAGGAAGCAATGGAATTTGTCTTCTATTTGCTATGCCTTCTTGTGGTACCAAAGCTGCTCCTTGGCAAGAGACAAAGAACTAGATGTGAATACTGATGGTGCAGTGAGCATGCTTCAGGGACGAAGTGTTTTAATATGAAAGTGGCAGCTCTGTCTTTTAGCTCTAGCAAAGTAGGAACTTAAATCCTAGTGGGATTGCTACATCTTTGAATCTCCTAATGGGCCTCAGATTGCAGAAGAGCTGAGCTGAGCACTTGCTTTTTCCAGCAGGGCAGAATAAGAGATTCAAACTCTGACTTTTTCACTGAAGTGAAAAAAAGCTCCACAGAACAAACAAAAAACATCTCCCTAATCTCTCACTATATTTTTTAACCATTGTTGTCAACATGTCTGAAAAAAAGCTTTTCGGAATTTGCTTCTTTTCTTCCTAAGTCGTTACCATTTATGCTTACCAAAAATTGGTGGAGGCTGCTGCCAAGACAAAGAAATCTCCTTTCTCAACTTTTCTCAAATTTATACTCAAGAGCCTCAAAATCACTGCAGTATTGCTTATAGGTAAGAGACATGCATTAAAGTTAAAATTAATTAAAATGAAGGCCAAGCAGGGATTAAATGATCTGTCTAAAGACACCCAAGGACTTTGTGGTGGAAGTGAAACTCCCATGTCATGGTAATGTCCTGCCGGCCAAGCTTCCTTGCTGCCACTGACAGAAGTTAGTATTCTTGCACTCACTTTCTGCAAATACAAATGACTAGGCAAGGCACAAGGCCATGGAAAACAGGCCTGTGAAAGAAGGTTGGTGTGTATTAAACACTGCAGCACATAACAGCTCTTGTCCCTAAGGTACTGCTTGCAGAAGAAGGCAATGATAGAGCTCATCTCAAAGACAGGAAGCTCTGTGGAAGCTAGAAGACACACTGGGCTCACTATTTTTAGTTTATTAAAGCTATCTGTTATGTTTCTTTATTGTCTTCAGCTCTCTAGCCTCCTCAGAGATTTGTTACTCTACTCATTGAAAAGAAGGGCAGCATGCTATGATTCCTCTGTCTTCTTTGTCCATAGCACGTAGGCTGAACATTTTGGTTTATGGCAGATGCCTAATGCAAAACAGATGTGAAAGGGTCAGGGTAATGATGCGTCTGGTACCTTCCCGAGAAACTCTTTCCTGATCTTCAAAGGTAAAGAACAGTTATCAGCATGGCTTGTGGCGTGGGGGACAGGGGAAAGGCATGGTCTTGGGAGTGTTGGGAGTCCTTGTTTCTGATTTGTTTGAATCTTTTACGTTCTTTTTACTATCAACCCCAAAAACTTAATCATTGGATATTATTCCCTTTATAACAGAGCAAAGTTATCATGCTGCACTCATTTTAAGATGCATGCTATTTAAAGTCAGGATTATTTTATTCTGCCTACTTAATTTTGCCTCTTTAATGGGGCCTTAGAAAAGTAGTTTCAGAAAATCATATTTACTTACTCATGTTCCATTTCACTATCAGCAGCAAGATTTTTTGCCCCCTTTTATAAAACAAATACATTCAGAGCTCAAGCAAAAAGGCATTTAAATATGCATAATTTAAACTAGCTGCCCAGTCATAACCAGAAATTCATCTGCACAGACTTTGTCACAAGGGAATAGCTCCTGGTGTTCTACCTGTTCCATTCCACAGACAACCCAGAGTTTGGTCTCCTCACCTTTGAAGTTTTATAATTTTGCCCTGTACGGTGGGGTGGAACACGTGAGAGGCTCTTCACAGCCTTGCACTGTGTTCTGGAACATTATATTCTGGGCAGAAGAATTTTTTATCCAACACTGAAGTGGAATAAGAACATTCATACAATTCTTGTGAGGGTAAAGTGAGGAGGATATGGCTGGTATGCATACGTTCAAAAGAAGCATGAAGGTACTGGGCTTCCACCTCAATGCAGATGGGCTCCTTCTACATGAGGCCCAATATATAGGCTTTGGAGAATACTGAATTATGTACAAGGGTAAGACTTCCTTTGGAGAGGAAGACTGGATTGTAAACACCAATCCTTATCCTGCTCCACTGGGATAACTTCACTGTTTTTAGGATTAAAGGACATGAAAATGGCAAATCAATGAAATCTAGCCAAGTAAATTGAATGTGTATTTTGTAACCGGAGTTACGAGAGATTTAAACTTGACTGAGAAGTGGCTGGGTTTTTTGCATAATCTGAGTAAAAACTGATCATTACTGGCAAAATTAAAAATTCACATTGCTTTATGGGATGTTTGCTTTTGCACTTTCTAACTCTTCCCTCATGTAATCTTCATCCCCTCCAAAAAACAGTGGGAAAAAGGTATTTCTCCTTTAGCTGGAGAGCTGGCATTAAGAATATCTTCATTAGCTGGGAAAGCCAGTTACTGCCCCCGATGGAAACATGTTTTGCTCTACTTGAATTGCCCCAGCACTATTACTTCATCTGTTTGCATGTCTTTAAAATAATTATTGTGCACATAGATTTAACATTAAAATGAGCTGAATTCTGAACTTGGTTTGCTCTCTTTTTTTTTTTTTTTGCCGGAATGTGCATGTTAACACTCATACTCTTATAGTACAGCTTCTAACTGCTGCTACTGGCTGCTAGCGCACCAATACTATGCCAGATCAATGAAACCATGCTTTCTAAGTCCATTGTATCAGTAAATCAAGAGTGAATTAATTTTTTCCCCTCTCAGTCTTTGCTGTCTCAGCGTTGGCCCCTCCCCTCATGCCGGTTTCCCTCTCCTCGAAATGCTTTGGGAAAGAAAGTGCAAGTACCCCTTCGCTTGCTTTATTTAAATTATCTCCTTTCTGCCCTGCTTTTCGCCCAGGGAAGCGGAGGAGCGAGGCGGATGGCTCGGCTTGCCCGGGAGAGGCGAACCCGTCTGCTCTCTCAGGAGGGCAGGGGAGGGAGAGC